TTTTTTTTTAAAAAAAAATATCGGTCTTTCCCAAAGACATCTAATAATACATGAATACATGATTTCATGATGATGCCTTTTTTTTTTTTTTTTTTACTCTCTCTGTCTCCTTTCTTCCCCAGACGGTCACCAATGTGTAATCAACCATCTATCAACAAAGCAACCATAACAGGTAAGACACCGTAAAACAGTCACACTATTTTATTAAGGTGGTGTTATTGTGAATATAAGATTGCATAATCTGTTCCTAATGTATAAATACTTTATAAAGGCTTTTAAAAGTCCATAAATATTACTTGTAACTTATGTAAGTATGTAAGTAGAATTTCTGCTTGATCTGAAATCTATTTCCAGTTTCTCACATTTTTGTTTTTTGCTCAATCAAGCTACTTGGTATAGTTTTTATGAGCTTTATTGCTACGAGGAAGTTGCTTATACTATGGTTTTCCCTCTACACATCTCTCAACTTTCTCTGTAGCTGGAGAAAAGGAGGAACAGGGGAATTCCTTCATAATACATTGAATATGAATTTGATACAAACATGAAAATATCTCTATATTTTTCTTCCTGTTTGAATAAAAAGAAAGCAATATCAGTGATAATGATTGAAAAAATTCAGAACATGGGCCAGCCTTTAATATCCTTATTGTAAATGAAGGCCAACATGTATAATATCCAGCATTTTTGTACTTTCTGAGGTCCATTTAGTCAGGAATGACTTTCACTTCCAGGTGCTTTTTTCAAGAAGCAACTGGACTTTCTGCTTTTTCTTTGAAGACGTTTCACTTCTCATCCAAGAAGCTTCTTCAGCTCTAACTGGGTGGTGGGGAAAGAAAGGATTTATATTTTTTGCAGACAGCTGGTCATTTGCATTCTTTTAGTGAGTCGTTAAGGTCACCTGGAAATTTATCTGTGTCCTCAGAGTCACCTGAATGGTGCAAATTGGTCTGGAGCCTTCTTGGAACTGTTGAAAAGACTCTGTTGTGGTCCTGAAAGGTTGTAGAACCTTTCAACAGGTCCAAGAAGGCTCCACAGCAATTTGAACTACTCAGGTGACCCTGAGAACAGAGATAAATCTTCAGGTGACCTTAATGACTCGCTAAAAGAATGCAAATGACCATCTGCGTCTATTGACCTATGCACTCAAATTTAAGAGTGTTTTTCCCACCATTTTGATTTTCCTTCAGTGTTGTACAAAAGTGCTGGATAAAAATATTTTGTGTATTTTTAAATGGATTGCTGCAATTGTTCCTTGTTAAAAGTTGCTGGGAATCCATTGATACCAGAATGGGGAACCTGAATATGGAACTACAGAATTTCAGCCAGAGTTGGATAACATCTAACAAAGAGGATCTAAATATAACAAAGTGCACTACAGATGCAGGTTAAGCTTTCGGCATGTAGTAGTGGTTGCAGTCATTTCTGGCAGGAACATCAAATGTATTGGTAATCATTACCCTGACTGAAGGAATGAGCAATATTGTAATCAGCTCCCATGGTTTGAAGGACATTGATGCAGTACCCTGCTATGTTGCATAAATGCATAAAAATATTGTTAGGGAGACATGCTATTTAAGCCATGCGGCAGCCTGCATATAAAGCTTTCATCCTAATTGAATCTGAGCAAATCTGCTACCTGTATTGCAAACTTCCAGAGAACGCCTACATGTATTGCCCTGAGTTCCTTTGGGGAATACAGGTGGGATGTAAATAAAGCACAGTAATTGGTCTGTTAATGTATGCCCAGACTTGCTGCTCCAGGGGACTTTCCCATTCTCTTAGGAAAGAGGAAAACCAGTCTTTACATGCACAGAATTCTAAGTGAAATGAACAGAGAGGCCTATACTCAGAAGCTTTGTCTGTGTGTCATACTTATTTTCTCTTCCCAGAAGGGATTGTTAAATCATATCACAGGAACGTTAGCACTGATTTAAAGTTAAGCATTAAACACCATTGCTACTACAAAATGCAAAGTAAGCTCATTTTCACTTCTGTGAAATATAATACAGATAGGATGGGTTTACCATAAGTTTTTGTTCTTCCTTTCACTTGGTGGCACGTTACATTTTTACTGATCTAAGAGCAAAACTGGGCGTTGAAGTGAATAACTGAATTTAAAGAAAAAAGAGTGTGCAGATACAAGGTGGGAGAAGAGGAAGGAAACCATATGAATAGAGAAATGTTAGTTGTCTCCCTGTTCTAGACTGAGTCCCTGAGCCTGCAATTTACTTTTTTAAAAAGTAATTTTGTAATTGCAAGAAATCATTAGAAAATGTATAGCTATAATGAATTTAATGCCAAACTAGTGTTAAAGGTGACTTAGTACTTATCCCTATCAAAACCTCACATGTATGGGTGTGACTTACTTGAACCAGTACTTTTCTATACTCGCTGCTTTATATTACACTAGGTCCATGATGGTGAACCTATGGCATGCGTGCCACGGTTGGCACGCAGAGCCATATTAGCTCGCACCCCAACCATCAGCTCTGGCACACATGCGCATACCAGCCAGCTGATTTTCGGCCTTCTGGTTGACTCATTGGGGCTGTTTTTTGCCTTCCGAAGGCTGGGGAGGGTGAAAAACAAGCCCAATGGGCCAACCGGAAGTTCGTTCACGAACTTCCGGTTGGCTTGTTGGGACTGTTTTTCACCCTCCCCAGGCTGCAGAAAAGCCTCCGGAGCCTGGGGGAGAGGGTTGCGCACGCATGTGCATGTGGGCAGGGAGGATTGAATTGATGTGGGCATGCATGCGTGGGTGATAGCGCGCGCACACACAATTGTGGCACGCCATAAGAAAAAGGTTCACCATCACTACACTAGGTGATAACCCAGCGTTGCCAGGGTATTTATTTATTGGGTGAAAGTGTCCAGACCAAACTTAATTTCTAATGTTGGATTTTCTTCCTTACCAGAGGGATCCCTCTTGTGGGGTACGGTGAAGCCTTTACCATGGCAACTCCACTACGCTGTACAGTGGAAGCCATTTTAAGGCACACCGGGCTGTATTGTAATAGAACACATACCCGGAGAGGGGCAGTATTGGAGGTGTCTTGCCCCCACAGTATTTGTTTCCAGAGAGTAAGTCATCTGTGTACCAAGTTTGGTTGAAATTGTTTGAGGCATTCGTGTTTGTGTGAGTAAAGCATGATCGGAGCTGCCGTCTTTCTATAAATATTGGTGGTGGGGTGGAGTGCTAGCTTTGTTTCAGTAAGTGGATTGATTGGCTGTGTGGTTTTATCATGATTGGTAGATTGGTGCTGATTGATGCTGGCTGTGGGTCTGTTGTTGTTTTGTGTTGTAATGGCCTGGGTGGTGGGTGGGGCTCGTTTGTTGACTAGGGCTCGTTTCCAGATGTCTGGTAGGCAGGAGGTATCATCACATTTATTCATGTTGTGGGGGTGTTTCTCTATTTCGATAGCTTCCATAATTATTCTCTTGTTGAAGTGTTCAGTTTTGGAGATTAATTTGNGCAGTCGGCATGAGCTTAAATGGACTCCAGGGGATGGTAGAGGACAGGAAGGCCTGGAGGAACGTTGTCCATGGAGTCGCGATGGGTCGGACATGACTTCACAACTAACAACAACAAGAAGAATAATTTTTAATTGTATATTTACTGAGTGTTTTTATTTGTTATGGTCTCTGACTGTAATTGAAAATTGAAAAGGTGGATGTGAATTTGAATATAACTTTTTAGATGTGTTGGTGAAATGGGTTTGACAACATCATGGAATTTACAACTTGATATAGGCATCCGAATTGCTCTGGGTGCTCAGCCTAAAATTAGGGAGGGGGGCAGGGAGGTAGGTAGGACATGTATACTGGTGATGTACATGTTATTTTGGTTGTGATTTGCTGCCCAAACCTCAGGATGGAATTCCGAGGTCATTTAATTGATGTTTCTGAGACTGTCGCTGTAACAATCTACTTCCAGGCTTGACACCCTGCTGTTTACTAAGATTAGCCCCTCAGTCCAAATTATCTAAGGTCATGTCTCTTAGACTCTCATACTGATAATATCAGCTAGAAGAGGGGAACATTTTGTGAAAAACCAAATGCATACTTAGGACACATAATTATTTAACCCTTCTTATGGAAGGGTTAACCCTTTAACCCTTCTTAACTGGCTCTCATTTTACTTTTGTCACTCCTACCCACGTATGATTTCATAACAAAAGCCCACCTAGGAAAAAATCCTATGTCTGGCATATCTGAAATCAATAAATTCACTGTGAACAGCTTCATACTGTCCTTCCCACACTTAATTCCCCTCCCCACTTTTTCCAGGGGACTTCATCCAGATACTTTCATTTGTTGCCATTTAGCAGTGGGAATCTGTCTTCCTTATGTTATTGAAAGCATGTTTTTTTGCAGTCAACTAAAGCCAAGGGCAAGCAAACTAAGACAAACTAACAATCTTAGCTAATTGCTTCCCATATAGTCTGTATTTTAGGACAGGCTCGTGTGTTTAGTCTATTTATACCGAGGACCTGAGTATCTATCTATCTATCTATCTATCTATCTATCTATCTATCTATCTATCTATCTATCTATCTATCTATCTATCTATCTATCTATCTATCTNAGGTGGGTAAAATGAGGACCCGGATTGTTGTTGGGGGCAATATGCTAACTCTGTAAACTGCTTAGAGAGGGCTGAAAGCCCTATGAAGCGGTATATAAGTCTAACTTGCTTTGGTTAGAAACTGTTAGCCTGGAAAGGAGGAAACATCAAGCGCAAAGCTAGCCTGGACTCATCGTGCAACCGAAAAAGGGCTGGATCCAACTCCCCCACTAAATTCCTTAGACCTTTATCTGATTGTCCCCAGGAATAGGCTGGAAAGATTAATCTCAGGTATGAACATCCAAATTCACAGAGTTTGAACTAACCACTTTATTATGTTCGGCCTATAATACAGGAATCTCACCAGTCTGGCAGCCTACAAGGAACTTAGGGGTCAGAGCTAGCCCTTTTGCAATTGCACAGTAACTCCAGGCTCGCTCCTCCCTTCCAGGCTGAGTGCTTCCCAACAGACATTGGGTTCAGACATTTAGTATAGAATGGAGAGAGTCACTTTCATTGGTGCTATCAGAATAGGACTTTGAGATTCGAACTGCCGAACGTCTGGCAGCTGGCAGTCAGCAGAAGTAGCTTGCAGTACTGCATTCTAA